AAAAATTTTTCTCTCTCTCTCTCTCTCTCTCTCTCTCTCTCTCTCTCTCTCTCTCTCTTAAAATTAGGACAAAGAATGTCAATGTGGCCCTTGGAGGAAAATGTTCAGACAGCCCGGTTGTCGTCATTTTGGCGGTGTTTCAAAAGCACCATTGTGAAACTGGACTTTTTTTTTTTTTTTTTTATCAGGTGCACAAAAGCCTCCAGAGGATCCGGGAGCGTAAACTGGCCAGTTTCATCCCTTGGGGTCCTGCCAGCATCCAGGTGGCATTGTCCAGGAAGTCGCCGTATCTGCCCTCCGCCCATCGCGTCAGCGGCCTGATGATGGCCAACCACACCAGCATCTCCTCCGTAAGTCTCACCTCAACGCTTACGCAACAGATTTGTATTTTGTTGGAGGACTTCATTTGGTCTTTATTGCCCTTTTTGTGTACTCGTTTATTTCAAATGGAACATTGATTACAGAGAATTAAAAATACAACTTGAAGGTGATTTTGTTTTTTTCAAAGAATTGTTCAGAGTTGCTTATCGTGACAGGATTTGAGTGCCACTCTGTCCTCTTGTAGCTGTTCGAGCGGACGTGTCGGCAGTACGACAAGTTGCGCAAGCGCGAGGCCTTCCTGGAGCAGTTCCGCAAGGAGGATATCTTCCAGGACAACTTCGACGAGCTGGACAACTCGCGCGAGGTGGTGCAGCAGCTGGTGGATGAGTACAGCGCCGCCACGAGGCCCGACTACATCTCCTGGGGAACGCAGGAGCAGTGAACGGACAAACACAACAGATGAAATGACTCCAATTAAGTGTTCGATTCTGTCTTTTCCAGCACTGACATACAACTGATTGCCCTCTTTTTTTTTTTGCCCTTATTTTCATGCTTTGTGCGCTTCCCAGTAAACCGTCCCGCGAAGCCTGGCCTTGACGCAGTGCATGATGGGTAACCGCAATCAGAGGCAGCATCTGGTTACGTGCGAAAAGTGTTGAACGAAAGCATACCATCCTTTTGGCTGGAAAGTGGCATTTTAAAAGATCAAATCAGGTTCTGCACTGACAAAAGAACTGAAGACACTTAATGGACATTTCATTAGGTACAGTACAAAATGGCCACATGTCAAAAGATGATGATGTCGATGCTTGCTTTTTGACTTTTGCTGTCAGAAAAGTCGTTCACGTCGTTTAGCTAATGTTTACCAGAGCGAGAGTTTGCGAAATGTTTCCTGTTACGTTGCTTGTTGGGCCTATTTAAAAAAAATATAATACATTTTCGATGGAATTGTGACTTTTGTAATGAATTAACAAAGTGTAATACCAGAAACTTTATGATCGATTTATGTTTTCTGTTGTGTCTAGTCCAGTGGTTCTGTGTCATAACTGATTGACATGTTGAGTCGGGTGTGCCTGACGCTCCATGGCAAGGGCTCTGTCAAAACCCTGAGACCGATTCACTGCGAGAGATTGGGGGTGGGGGGGTTTCGGCAAAAAAAAAAAAAAACGGCTTTCAAAAAATGGTCGGGTTTTTTTTTTTCAGCTAAAAACGCTTACGATACATGGTCGTTTTTTTTTTCGGCTAAAAATGGGCTAAAAACACCTTAGTATACATGGTTGGGCGTTTTTGTGCCAAAAACGCCTTACTATACACTGTCGTTTTTTTCCGGCCAAAAACACCTTACTATACATGGTCGTTTTTTTCGGAGAGAAATGGGCTAAAAACGCCTTACTATACATGGTCGGGTGTTTTTGTGCCAAAAACGCCTTACTATACATAGTTGGTTTTTTTCGTCTAAAAATGGGCTTTAAAAGCCTTACTATACATGGTCGTTTTTTTCGGCTAAAAACACCTTACTATACATGGTCGGTTTTTTTTTTTCAGCTAAAAACGCTTACGATACATGGTCGTTTTTTTTTCGGCTAAAAATGGCCTAAAAATGCCTTACGATACGTGGTGTTTTTTTGGGGGGGGTTAAAAACGCCTTACTATAGGCGTTTTTGTCCGAAAAAAACGACCATGTACAGGAAGGCGTTTTTAAGCCCATTTTTAGCCGAAAAAAATGACCATGAAAAGTAAGGCGTTTTTGGCTGAAAAAAAATGACCATGTATACCTGGTCGTTTTTTTCGGCCAAAAACGCCTTTCTATACATGATCATTTTTTTCGGCTAAAAACGCCTTACTATACATGGTCGTTTTTTCGTCTAAAAACTCCTTACTATACATGCTCGTTTTCTTTTGGCTAAAAACGCCTTACTTATACATGGTCGTTTTTTTCGGCAAAAAACGCCTTACTATACATGGTCGTTTTTTTCGCCCCAAAATGCCTGATTATACATGTTCGTTTTTTTTTTTTTTTTTTTTTTTTTTGG